CTTGTATCTAATCCTTAAAAGATTTTAGGGTTACCTCTTCAGAGGGAGGGAATGTTAGAGAGGAGGGAATGGGCATGGATTTGATCAAAATACCTTATATGCATGTATGAAATTCTCATAAAATTCTCAATAAAGTTTTTGTAAAAATTTAAAAAATAAGTCACATTTTCTAAATAATAAAAGCTCCATATATTTCTTATATGTTTTCATAACTAAATTAAAGCTATAGGCTGGTACAAACTGAAGTATTAAAATCAGTGCTGTCAAATAACATTTCCGCCCAAGGTAAGGTAAGGTAGCATAAGGTATGTGTATATCATTGCTATGTTAAATATTTTTCTTTATTTTTGTTACTACAGTAATAATGTGTTACTTTTTTCAAATGTATTCCTTATTGTTTTAAATAAAATTTGAGTGGGGTTTTAAAGCCAAAAAAAAAAAAAAAGGAAATCAGTATTTACACTATACAAAATATTGAACACCTGAATAAATGGAACAGAGACACAAACTAGAAGCCTTTTATTTATTAACTTCACATTGTATTCAAGTACTTTCTAAATTCCTAAGAAAACTACATGTAAAAAAAAAAATTGAAAAGGGCACTGTTGTTAGCTACCACCTTTGCTTCTGACAAGTAGTAAAACAGCTAAAACATATTATGAACACAGAATCTTCTAATCTGGAAGGTAAGGGTATAAGACAGATGTCTTAAACAAAACCTGCAATATTCCAGATGATGAGCAGAAAGCACAGAATTCTCATTAGATGAACTTTACAATTATAGAGTATACACACAAAATATAAATCATTAAACAGATCAACTCTGATGACGCAGTCTGTTCCTAGAAAAGAGGCTATGTTGAAAGGGGAATGAATCCAGGTACCCATGTTTCTTCTGGGAGTCATCATGACTAGCTAAAAAGCTTAGAAGGCAAAGCTTTTGTATTACCAGACACTAAGAAGTACCCTAGAAAGACCCTGCCATTCTGCATTCAATCTCCAAGGTTCCCATGCTAACAAGCAGAGTGCAGGGCAACTCAATGTCAGACATGGTCACATACGCAAATTCTAAAGTCAGGAATAAATTTATGATTCAACATTCAGTAACCAGGTTTTAAACCACACTGGATTATTTTGTTTGTTTTCTTTTTTTTTTGGTCTTTTTGAGACAGGGTCTCCCTGTAGCCCCAGCTGACCTGGAACTCGCTATGTAGACCAGGCTGGCCTTGAACTCACAGAGATCCACCTGCCTCTGCCTCCCAAGTGCTGGGATTAAAGGCGTGCGCCACTACACCCAGTGGATTTGTTATTTTAATGTAGATCATGTAAGGCTAGGTAGGCCAGTGCTCTTCTGTGTGATATTGGGCAAGTCTTATAACTTCCTGAGCTTGTTTCCTACTGTATAGAATCTAGTTGGGTTATATGATCTCTGAGGTCCTTCCAGCTCTAAAAATTCTATGAATCTATTATAAATGAATAGTTTTGGGAGCACAACTTTTGGGAGAATTACTTTTAAAGAAAATGAAAGACCCCAGTAAACTCGCACTGATGAGAGCTCATCTTCTGGTATATTTAGCTATGCAATGAACGGAATGACACAGAAACTTGCTAACACCTAATGTCCTAAAATCAGTACTATACACTTCTTTTGCAGAATGCTTCACAGACAGCTAAGAATCACTGGATTTTTGAGCTGGAAGGAAATTCAATTTTATTATTGCCTGATGGATTTTTGAGTTCCAGACCTACCTTCTTTGATCCTCTGCTCTACTTGGCTCTCTGGTAACACAGACCTGGCTAGGCAGAACTGGCATTGATGCTAGGTCAGAATGAATAGTTCAAAGTATGGGGAAATGAAAATAGCAGAGAAATGGCTATAGAAGAGAAGGGAGCAGTGGAAACTTTAGTCAAGAAAGCAGCTGATGCAGTTTTATTTAAAAATTGCTACTAATTATAAAATGGTATTTATACTGATTCCATGGGTTTATAATATACATTAAATACATTTTAGTGTATAGTACAAGTCAATGTAGGAGCTATTGCTCCTTTAACTTTTCATAGAATGACCTTTTTTTTTTAATCTCTCCTTATCTTCCAGTCAAAATCAACTGAAAATAACAGGAGAGCTCAAGTAAGCTAGTAAGATCCAAGAATAGAGAGAGGGCAAAGAATTATGGAAATAGAGACTGACTGGAAGAAGCCAGTGAGGAAGTGTAAAGTACAGTCCCAGCACTCTGGAGGCTGAGGCTAAAGAATCATGAATTCTAGGCCAGTTACTCAGCAAGAGTCTATATCCAAAGAAAAAAGAACAGAAAAAAAAAGAAAAAAACCAAAACTGACTAAAAGAAATTAAACTTTTGGTATCAGAAGAAAAATACTTAGGACTTTTAAATTATGTATACAAGTTTCTTCTGAGAAACTTCAATTTATTCACTGTACCAAAATAACCTTAATTGGTATCAAAATTCAGAACTAATTTTCCATATCAATCTACCAGAACTGCTAAAAGAACCTGCTAATTTAAAAATGGTATGAATCATGATTTAGAATATTAAATAATAAAATTATTAGCAACAAAAGCTTTTTGAGAGTTCATAGTTTTTCAATTAGGGTCTACTGCCAAGTAATTAACCTGAATGTGGTCCCATCAGAACTAGAAAGTCAGCTGCACAGGGCACTACTCAAAATTGCCACTTTCCATGCAATAACTGCACTTTGAGCTATGCAAATCCACAGAGCTAGAGTAAGCAAAACAGAGGCTCAAAGTAAAATAAAATTATCTTCACTGAGGGGAAAAAAATAAACTTCTAGCTGTTGTCACTACTAATAGTGTGGAGATACTCTACAGCATATGAAAAGACAAGGCCAATAAAACAAAAAAGCATTGAGGCATAGCAATTAAAATATTTAAAAATCTATTTAAAGTGGTATCTTACGAATGACTGAGCTGCTAGGAATCAGTAAGTGAACACTTACCTGTACTACATGCCAATGCCGATGTCCAAGTAAAGTGCTTAACCCCTGAGTCTCTAGACCTCCGTCTGCAAATGGGCTCTTTTCCCGACTCCGAGGATGCTCAGAGCATGCTGAGGAACTCTTCAGATTCTGAGTTTGTGAGGCTTCTCCACAGTTTAAGTATAAGCGATCCTCTCCCTGAAGCAACACCTGTTCCTGGTTACTCTAGACAGAGAAAGAAGGGCAAGGGGGCAAAGCAAGCAAAAATAATGTAGCATTAGTAGGAGCTATTAAGGAGCAGGCTGATTTATTATTCAAGGTGTAGCATATATCAATACCGATTTTTCTCCAGCTGAGAAAAACAACACAATGACTTCAGCACTATTATACTTAGAGAGAAGAGACAGTATTTTCGGTGATTCTGGTATAAATTAAGGTTTTGCTATAGTGTGTTATGTCAACAAGCCCAGGTTTACAAATGTTATAACAGTACATTTCACTATCACCCCTAGAGTGCAATACTGTGAAATGTTTTACATATGAAAAACTGAATGTAACCACACAGTGTTTACTGGTGACTGCGTAGGTTTCTAAAGATATTTAGACAAATAAAATAGCTCCTACTTTTAGAAATTACACCCTGATTTTTAATCAGTAGGTCTAGCCCCTCAAGGGTGCTTTAAAATTATTTGGAATGGGAGAATATACTTCATTTTTAATTATTATTATATTTTATGTGTATGAGTGTTTTGCCTGCATGTTCATTAGTGCACCCTGACGTAAGTGCCTGTGGAAGTCAGAAGAGGGCATCAGCTCCCCTGGAATTGGTGTTACATCACAGACAGCTGTTAGTCACCCTGAGGGTCCTGGGAATCAAACCCAGATCCTTTGCAAGAGCAGCCAGTGCTCTCAACCCCTGAGCCAGCTCTCCAAGTTCTGGATCCTTAATTTTTAACTAGCGTATAAGGCTTTGCAATCCAGGCCATTTTCACATTATTTTTCAATGTGTTGTAGATTTTAACTAACTTGTTATATCAAATATCTTTTAAAAGCTATTGGCAATAGATACTAAGATCTGTACTCCTAAAATATAACTGTAATATATTAAGGTATACAATCATTTTAATGTATATTACTTCAGACTGCTAAACATGGAGTTTTATATTGTAATTTAGGACAATGTTTCCCAAGGCAGGTTCCTGACATTTTTTTTCAGGGTGTTCCTTAACTGATAGTTGAGTGAGTATGAGGAACACTGCTTTTCATATTAACTAGACCGCTGAGCTGCACACGAGCACTGAGGTTCTGGAGTCCTACTGCACTCTTCATTTTAAAGCCTTCACTTCACACATGAAAACAGAAGTTTTGTTTTGTGCCTTATAATCCTCTTGCCTCAGCCCCTCAAATTCTGGGATTACAAGTGTATGCCACATCCAGCTTTCAGAACTTTTGCTCTGTGTGTGAGTGTGCACATGTGTATGTGTGAAGAGGCCAGAGGCTGATGTTGAGTATCTGCCTCAGTCACTCTCCACTTTATTTTTCAGACAGGATCTCATTATGTAGTCATGGTTGGCCTAGAACTCACTATGTAGACTAGGTTAGCCTTAAACTCATAGAAACCCACCTGTCTCTGCCTCCCAAGTACTGGGATTAAAAGCATGTACTACCAAGCCTGGTTCCACCTTAGTTTTTGAAACTGGGTCCCTCACTGAACCTGGAGCTTGCTGATTCAGCCAGACTGGCTGGCCGGCAAGTCCTAGGAATCCTCTTGCCTTTACTTTCCCAGAGCTGGGATTACAGCACACATTGCCACGCCTGGCTTTTACATGGGTTGCTGGGAATCAAATTCAGGTCCCCATGCTTGTGCAGCAAGCACTTTACTGACTGAACCATATCCCCAGCCCCCTAGAATTTTTAAAATCCTGTAAAACTACTACTAAATATTTCTCCTAAGTAGCATCTGATGGAACAGACTTTGGCAAATACTATTCAGATAAAGACTAAATTATTCAAGTTATCCTACACATAGATATTGCTTTGCTTCAAACTGCTTTAAGTTTTAACAAAAAAGCCCAAAACATGTTCAGAAATAAGATTTTGAAATAAATTTAATAGAAATACAATAATCACAGAAAAAACAGAAAGAAGGTATACCTAACAATTTTGGAATGTATTCAAATCTATGGATCATGGAAAAGGATCTGAAATTTTGATATAAAAGGCATTACAAGTCGGGCGTGGTGGTGCATGCCTGTAGTTCCAGCACTTGGGAGGCAGAGGCAGGCAGATCTCTGTGAGTTCAAGGCCAGCCTGGTCTACATTGTGAGTTCCAGGACAGCTGGGGCTATAGGTAAACCCTGCTTCAAAAAGACAAAAAAAAAAAAAAAAAAAAAAAAAAAAAAAAAGGCACTACAGATATTAGAGTTCAAATTACTTACCATACAAGGATTTACAGTGAGTACACTCTTGATAAACTGAAACAGCAAAATGCTGGGCTGTTTAACTATACTCCTGAGGTCAGCCTCGATTTCAGTGTGTTGAGAACCAAATCCACTGATCACCCACAGGTGATAGCCTTCTGCACCCCAGCTCTTGAAGGAAGGAGGAGATAAAAAGTCAAAGCAACAAAAAGTTCTTTTTATCCTTTCCTAACTCCAGTCATTATCAGTCTATATATGAAACAACCAATGACCAAATTATCATCTTCTGAAAATTAGGGAAACCATGACAAAAAGTACAGACAAGGATCATATTCGGGGCCAGTGAGATGGCTCAGTGGTTCAAGTGTGAACTATGTAAGTCTGGTAACCTGAGTTTGATCCTGGAGCCCATGTAAAGGAGACCTAACCCCATACCTGTGTTGATACATACATATCATGCACACAGACAATAGTAACAATTTTTTAAAAAATCACACCCAGTGATTCTTAGCCATCAACTACATCTTAGCTATCTTCAGAGGAAATCACTTACTGTCCTCTACCTAGAATGGTAAAACGCTAAACAATGTTCTCAACTTCAATTTCAGGATTCCAATTCTAAGAAATACCTCTGTTACCTCTCAATTTAATTTACCTGCTTCTCGAATACAAAGAATTCCTTTAGAAGACGACCCTGATTACCTACTAGAAGCTCAGCAAAGAAGCAGTTCTGTATACAACAAAGAGCAAAGGACAGGAAGCTTCTACACTAGAGTTTTCCTTACAGCCTGACTTTTGTTACACTGTCTTAGCCAAGCTACTTGGTTTCTCAAGATGTTTCTTTTGGTATAAAGCAAAAAGATTCAAATAAACTTCTCCAAATAAAATTTAATATTCTGTAACTAGATTCCATCACAGCATATTTGAAGTTAGTAATTCCCAATCTGTGAGTCAAGAAAACGGCAATGGAGTGGGATTCATAAACTACTGTAAATTTTCAAAAGTATAATTGGTTGCGCTCCCCCCGCCCCCGCTGCCCTGCCAATGTATGTATGAGCATGTGTGCATACATGGAGGCTGGGGAAGGATGTTGGGTGTCCTGTTCCATCACTCTCCTCTATTACTGTGAGACAGTCTCTCACTGAACCTGGAGGGAGGTTGGCAGACAGCAAGCCCCAAACCTACTCCTGTCTCCACTTCCTCCACTACCCCCATTGCTGGGTTACAGGCGTTCATGTGGCTACACTAAGCCTTTTACTCATGCCCTCATGTTTGTGCAATGAATATGCTTACCCAATAAGCCATCTCTCCAATGCCCCTAAAATAGCTGTTTTTATTTTTTCCCCACAATAAACATGAAAAAGCTAACTAAAATTTCAGATCCTTAGTTTGTGGTTGAAATACCAACCTAGTGAATCTGGTAATAATGGTTGCTGTATGCCATTCGAAAGCACTGGCTAATAGTTACAGAAATGCTATTTGATTGAAAACTTACATATTTTGTGTCTATATGTGGTACATGTAGGTATGTTTGTATGAACAGGTATACATGCATGTATGTGTGGAAGCCAGAAGGTGTCTACCTTATTTTTTGAGACAGAGTTTCTCACTGGGACCTAGGGCTCAATGATTAGGCTGGGCTGGTGGCCACAGGTATCCGCCTGTCTCCACCACCCCAGCACTGGGACTACAAGCATGTACCACCTCACCTAATTTCTAACAAAGTTCTCATGCTTGTACAGCAAGCACTTTACCAACTTGAGCCATGCCCCCAGTCCCTGAAAACTTATTTTAAAACATGAAGTGGAGAGGGACATCAAAAGGTGTCCATGATGGTAAGAGGCAACCTTCAAGTTTTAATTTTTGGGGAAAATGCCTTTCCCTATAGAACAAAAGGGAAGGGTAGTGATAAGTCTCAGCGTCACTGCTTTTACAAGTATAGTACCCAGAGAGACTATAGAAAATGTTCCAGGTTGGAGAGATGGCTCAGCAGTTAAGAGCACTAACTGCTCTTGCAGAAGACCCAGGTTCCATTCCTAGCACCTACATGGTGGATAAAACCGGCTGTAATTCCATTTCCAGGGGATCTGATGCCCTCTTCTGACCTCTGTGGGCACTGTATGACACAGGTGCACCCACATACATGCAAACAATACACTCATACACATAAAAATAAAAATAATAAATATTTTTAAAAGAAAAAAAGAAAATGTTCCTATGTAAAGATGGGTTAAAATCCAGGTATGGTATATACCTATAATCCCAGCACTCTAGAGGCTAAGGCAAGAGGACCGTTGGTTCAAGGCTAGCCTGAGCTACACAGATAGAGATAGAAGTTAGCTTCAAGACCCTGTCTTAAAATATACCAAAAACAAACCAAAACCAAAAAAAAAAAAAAACTTCACCAAAGCATGACCTATATAAGAAAAAAAATCTAAGACAAAAATGCTTTATGATTTTTATTAGATCAATGAGAGGAACAAAGGAAAAACTTTCTGAGTTTTTTATACCATGCCAATTTTTTACAGAAAGTACTTACCATAGAGTTGATTTTAAGGGGATCTTTTTTGGTGCCATCAGACCTGTAACTGAAACAAAATAGAGACTTAATGTGATAGTCTTCTGTTATATGTAATACACGTAATATTGAACATTAGCTTTAAAAAAAAAACTGACTTTCCTCCTTTAAATTAGAAATACTGCTAGGTAATACACCAAAATGTATCACTCAAAACCATATTTTGCATGGTACTGCTAACTTCTTGACAGCACCACACAGTTTGAGAAAAGATGAGCTCATTTCATCAGGACTGAGGCTTAGAGGAGTATAAAAGAGCAGAAATAAACCCGCTGTGTCTACCTACACTGACCCCATGGGCTTACTAATAAAACTTTCTAATCCCTATCAGTTATGTATGTAAATAGCTTATCTAACAGAATGGTAAGCTATCTGAAGGCAGAGCCATTGTCTAATTATGCCTTAATTTTATTTATTTATTTATTTATTTATTTATTTATTTATTTATTTATTTATTTATTTATTTATTTAATTTATTTTTTGAGACCAGGTCTCACTATGCAGCCCTGACTGGCCTTGAACTCACAAAGATTCCCCTGCCTCTACTTACTGAGTACTGGAATTAAAAGTGTGTGCCATTACACCTGGCAATGTGTATTAAATCTTAGCATGAGGTCACATATACAAAAGGGGCTCAAAAAAGAACCTCCCCACTCCCATGTTTGGGATCAATAAATACAATTATATTGAATCAACTGTCAGTTTTACAAGGGTGGATGTTTGAAGAATCAATATATTCCTAACAAATTAAATCTGTACTTTACAAATTGCTTTGGCATGAGTAAAATAAGAATGGATGGAACCAGAAATCACATTAAGTGGACTAAATTAAACTCAGGCCGACAACACATTTTCTGACATATGCAGACCTGTACATAGGACATGAAAAAGGGGGCAGGAGTGGTCTTGAAAGGAGGGGAAAATGGAAGAACAAGACTGGGTAACAGGGTTAGAGAGAAAGAGAGACAAAATGTTGCATGCTTTGTCTTCATGTGTGGTACAGATTTAAATACAAACACATACGACATGGCATGAAGGCAGAGTTGGACTAGTTGGTGAAAGGGTGAGGGAATATGGGCAAAATGCTAAGATTTACATGTGTGAAATGTTATCATAAATGCCATTGTTTTCATTGCTATCTACACAAAATTTTAGAGAGTGAAATAAGAGGGAAAAAAGGTAGTTTTATGACCCAAATTTCTGAATATACATTCTATCAGAAAAACAACGGGGATATTTTAACTAAAGTTTATCTTTATTGACTCACGCAAAATCTCCTCCAAGTGTACAAATCAGCTGGGCTCCAAACACACTCCATAAAGAAAGGCCTCCATATTCCCAAGTTACTATTACAACACTATTGTCAGGAGACCATCTAATCAATTTAACAGCTCCTGTTTTGTTCCAAATGTCTGTGAAGAAATAGGAAGAAGAGTTAAAAAAAAAACTGCTTGAGAAATAGTACGTCTTACAGGCTATACGTTCAAATCTGGAAGGCACAACCATTTTGAATGCTAAGATGACTCCTGTTCATGTAGGGTACTGGAAATAAAGTTGTAAGCCTTGGCCCGAACTGAGCTGAACTGAACATACTTGGTCCACAAGTGAACTGTAAAAAGTGAGAGATGCTTCTGCCAGGATTACCTGAATGACTGTCACTGTGAAATCTTAAATTTTCAATTTTATGTAAATCAGCTTTTATAAAATGGGGTAGGCTTACAGCAAACGTTCTCCTTATGGAAAAAATACGTGTACATTTTTTAAAAAGTCTATATAGTAAAGAGTGAAAGATGTTCGAAGCAAATTTCTACTTTTGGCAGTGCAACAAATGATACCCTAAATGATTCTTCACACTAAAAAAAGATGTTAAAAAGAATATGTAAATACCTCAAACATACCACAATATGAGGACAAAATATTATTTGCCAAACCCTGAGAATCTTTACTATCACATTAGATGATCTATGTAGCATGTGATGGACAAGGGGATCAAGTTCACGGCTTACTCACAGCAAGAAATCTAGTATAAAGACACCAGGCAATGCTAAGATTACAAAGGCTATATGCCCATGGTACAAAGGAGGGTAAGAGAAAAACTGCCATGTAAAGGGAAAACAAAAACATCAAGAAATATTTCCACATTTCATTCATGGTGCTAAATAGAAACAAAAAGTTCCCTGAAAATCCCCAGTCATAAATCAAGTCAGTCCTTACTCTGATTTGTAATTTATGTCATTAGTGTGGCTCGAAACAACAACAACAAAAACTTAAAAAAGAGAATACAAAGCAAAGGGTTCCAGACTGGTATAGTACCAAGTGATCTCTGAGAAGGTATCAAATGTAATGCAGGTCCCAAAGCATCCACACACCCTTAACTTTCAAGGAACATTATCAACTCTCAGTCAAAGACACTAAAATACATGAACAAGTGAACCCAAAGAGCTAAGTCACTGCAGAAACAGGTTCGGTCTTCAGATACCAGAACTAATGGAAACAAGACATAAAACAGCAATTCTTTTTATAGCTAAAAAATTAGAGAGGACTGGCAAGGTGGCTCCGTGGGTAAAAATGCTTACCATGCAGGCCTAAAGAACAGAGTTTGATCCCTGGAACGTAGGGGGGCGGGGACCGGCTCCCTAAAGATGTCCTCTGACCTCCATACACATGCTGTGGCATATAATAATATATTAAATAATAAAAAAGAATTAAGAAAGAAACTGGGGAATGGCTCTGTTGGTAAAATGCTTGTCCAAGTATGAGGACTTAAGTTTGGTTCCCAACCTACGTAACAGTCAGGTATGGTGGCATGTGCCTATAATTCTAGTGCTGGGAGGCAGAGGCAGGGTCCCTGGGCTTGCTAGCCAGCCAGTCTAGCTGAATTGGCAAACTCCAGATTCAGTGAGGGACTCCGTGGGAAGTGACTGAAGAAGACACTTGATGTCAACCTCTGGCTTACACACACACACACACACACACACACAAACATGTATGACACACACATAAAAAAATTAATAAAAGACTATAACTAGGAGCAGACTAGATAAACTAAATAAACCTTCTAGAAACAAAAACATATTTGTAACTCAAAGGGAAGATTAAGCATACTAGACATAACCGAAGAGAAAATGAGTAATTCTAAAGACAGTAAAAAAAAATTCTACAGAGAGGGTAGGTTCGACCTCCTTCATCTGTGTAGTGGCTGTGATCTAAGCAGACCGCCAGAGAGTGCCTGTTTCTGGTCTCCCTCTGGCATAGGGGCTGAGAACTCAGGGGACTGCCTGAGAGTGCCTGGATCCTGCCTCCACATGGAGGTGAGCTTCCCCTAATTGCCTGTACTCAATCCCCTAACTGGGATTGCATTATGCCCCTCCCAAGACCCTGGGGCAGACCTGGCTTTGGTAGGATAAGGCTGAGAACTTAGCAGACAGCCTGAGAGGGTGGGTTCCAACCTCCATCTTTGTAGTAGCTATGATTTCAGCGAACCACCAGAGAGTGCCTGTTTCCAGCCTCCCTCTGGCATGGGGGCTGAGAACTCAGCAGACCAACTGAGAGTTCCAAAATTGGTCCCCCATTAGGGAACTTCCCAAATTTTGCTGAGAGTTCACGCTAGTAGGGGTTCAAACTTTAGAAGGAAACCTGAGTGTACCTGACTGGAACCTGACTTGGGCCTTTGTGGGTGCTCCTGAGTAGCTGATCTGAAGCCATCAGCTCCCTCCAAAATAAAACCTGAGAGAGCCTGAAACCTGGACCAACCAGCTTTACATAAACAATAAGAAAAGGACCAAGGCACATCAATAATACAAACACAAGCATACTTCACCTTAATTCTTCTATCAGAATCACAAATAAAAGAACTTCACATGCCAAAATCACAATGGAAGAATAATAAAATAGAAAGCCAAAACACTATGTCCCCACCAAACTCTACCAGTCCTGTAGAAGAGTTCTACAAGGAGAACCCCCTAGAGATAACTCAGTATTTCTTTAAGAGTCCAAGGGATTACACTTCTCAGACATTAGGCTTAAGTCCATATAAAAAGTTATTTAGACAATTATCTCTCCTTGATGATTTTGTTTCTAATCAGAAAGTTCTGTTCAGATGTAAGACTTCAAATCTTGGTCTGCAATACTGTAGTGCCCACCTGTAGCTAAGGGAGACAACCTGCTATTGTTCTAAAATGATGGATAAATTTGTTTTCTCCCCCTATCTAGAAGCCTTTGAGAGGGAACTGGCACCGATTGGTTGTAGCTGTTACACTCCAACAGCTATCAAAATGCCTGAAAGCAAATCCTGAATCCATCACTGTTGAGTCTAGCCTTTGCAGATAAAAGAAAAATGAAGAGGAACCCAATAGAGGGACGCTTTTGGAAGCTCTTGTCAAGAAATTCCAATGGACTCTCATATGAACA